GTCATTAGACACTGTAGCCATGAGGCATCATTGTTGTGTGATGCTTCGTTCTGCTTTCATGATTCTGCAGTATTGCACCCTCTCAGCTGTGGGAGTGAGTAATGCTGCTATTCCCCCTTCCATTGAAAGTATACTTTGGATGGTGTGGTACAGAAGATTCCATTTATTCTCCTGGCTTCTGTTTCTCAAATGTACCGCTACATGTGAGTAGCCAGAGCTGGGTGGTTTTGTTTGGCACTCTCCAGAAACTCAGGTTGAACTAGATGCAGTTTTTATTTGGTAGAACTTTCTTCATTTCACCTATCTGTTGTTCTGACAGCTAGCTGACGTTCTTTCTGTATTGCCTTGATCTTAGTTTTGAGCCTCCTACTTCATGGGGACAATGCTCCAAAGGAGATGTAATCTTTATCTTACAGACAAATATTTTAAGGACCACTGTTGATGTGGTGTATACCAGGTTAATGGTCTCTCTGGTGGTGACAGAAGGGCCAATTAGCCATTTTGCATTCACATCTTCTAGCAGCCTTTCAGGGGGCACTTTATCACGTAACATTTGTAAGGGGTTGCAGGTCATAGGTGTTCAACTTAGTCATGATCTTCAATATTAGATCAACTCCCCATGCATGCAAGTCATCAGAGCTTAAAACCTAACTGAAACTTTAGTTACCATGTTTTAGTTTATAGCATACAGTATTCAGTCTTAATGGCTTTTCTTCTTCTCTTTGTCAGATATGACTCCCATTCCTCAGGATAAGAGGCTGTCCATGGGTCTGACTGGAGACCTGTACTTTTCTAATGTTTTGGTGCAAGATGCTCAGAGAGACTACAGCTGCAATGCTCGCTTCCTCTTCATTCACACTATCCAACAGAAGAACCCCTTTACACTTAAAGTTCATACCAGTAAGTAACTGACCTCAAGATCCAAAGTACGAGTTACATCATCTTCAGGTATTTTTTACTAAAGGCTGCATTCACACTGGCCCCACTACAAGACAACAAAAATCAACAAAAAAAACACACATAATGAATGTGGATAGTTTTTTGCAGGGTCTTTGCAAGGTTATGCATTAGAGATCGCATTGTTACATGTAACGGACTGTGATAGGTCCACAATCATTTTGAGAATGCACAAAATTTTTGTAGCAAGGTCATAGTTGTTTATAGTCATCGTGGCAAGAATTTGAAGCTGGACACTGACCTCATGCCTAAGCTACAGTATGAGTGTAATCCTTCAAGGTCAAAGGAACAAGAAAATAGAAAGAAAACCTTTTTAGTGAGTACAGTAGTCCCTCGTTTATTGTGGGTGTTAGGGACCATGCCCTCCCCACGCCCCCGGGATAGGTGAAAAACCACGAAGTGGGGATAGTTGTACAAGTTCAAGTAAACTTTATTGTCATTACTGGAAAGAAATTATGTACACAAGCAGTAGTAGTAGTAAGTAGCAGTTTAGTTTAGATTTATATGCAGGTATATATTGGCATTTTAAACCCATCCCACACTCTTGCAATGTTCCTAACAATTTTCTAAACTCTTAAACCTTTTAAAAATATTAATTTTAAATGGGTACTCACCAGAGAAGATGAAGATGAACTAGAAGAGATGGCGATGAAGAATTAGCTGTCCAGTGATGATGATGAAGGTGAAGAAAATGTGATGAAACCAGGCGCTTTGGCTTGGTCCTTCATAATAAAAGTGCGAGATGGCATCCTCTTCCAGAACAGGCCCGTTGTGTCCACGTTAAAAACTTGTTCAGATCTGTAGCCCCCCTTGGTGATCAGATCTTTCAAGTCCTGTTAACAAACTCCTCCGCTCCTTCTGTATCAGCGGACACAGCCTCTCCATGCAGAGAAACACTTTTTAATCCAAATCGTTTTTATCCAAAGTGATGTTTTTTGTTTTTTTTGCAATCATTAATCCACACGACCAGTGCAGCTTCCTTCTTAACAATCGTTACGTAGGCGCCCGGCAACATCCGAGCAGGTATGGCCATCTTAAAGTTTGTCCAGAAGTTCCACTTTTTCTTTAATCGTCAGCATCTGACTGACTCTGACGTCACGTGCGCCGCAGAACTGTAGCACTGATGGGAGCTCTGCTTCAACTCAATCTTTTTATGTTCTTGTTACTTTGTTTTAGCTTTTTTTTCTTGTCTACACTGCACATCCACGGTACAGGTATAACCACGACACACTTGTGGAGTTTTCTGTGTCACTGCCTTGCCATCTTGCCATCCTGCCATCGTGGTTCAGTCTTTCCAGTCTCGGGCTCAGGCCTGTCATGGCAGCTGTCTCCATGATCCTCCATCTGCCTGCATGGACCGAACTCTATGGACCCGTTCGATTCTGCGGGTGAAACCTTGGATGTTCTCCATCTGCCGTACCTGGTTCTGGAGGGCAGTCTTTGAGGGCAGCTGCTGTGGTCACTGTCACCATTGGGCTGCTGACGGAACCTGTTAACTAGGCCTGCTAACACTA